GGCGTGCTCCGTCCCGGCTTTGTAGGGATGCGAGGTCAGTGGTCTATCGACTACGGCATGCACGACTATGAGTACACACACACACACACACACACCCTTGAATACCAACTGGAACTCGTGTGCAGGGTTCGTGACGAACGGGACCAAGGCGACCACCGGTTGGAGGATGAACGGGACCAAGTATGTGGTGTTGCGTGAGCTGGAAGGACCGGTTCTCTACCTCAAGAGGGTGAGCGTTTGGCCATGTATCTTGCTGCTGTGCTTCAACGTGGGGGTTGTTGTTTTCTGCTTTTTTTTTTCACACGTTTTTTGTGTTTTTTTGGCCATGCAGCAGGTGAAAGGCCCGGTCCATTAGGGATCGAGGAAGGCCGGTGCCATGTCCTTTTTGTTGTGGTGGTGCTTTCTCAAGGCAAATGCATGTGTTGGCTGTTTTTTGGTGCCTCCGGTTGGTTTTCCCTCGGTTCGGTTGATACAAGCCGAGGATAGATGCTGTTCGGGATGACTCGTAGAGAACAAAAAAAACAAGGAGAAAAACGGGTACTTTTACATTCCAAGGAGGACGTGCAAGTCACCCGTATTTCGAAGTTCCTCGAATGTACTTGGCAGTATTCTAGTAGTCTCTGGGAGACGTCGTCGAGAGCTATTTATGGCGTAGATGGCCTTCGGTAGGCCGACGCTTCTCGCAGTCCCGATGAGTTCTGTCGCTACCCCTCCCCTCGCGCTCGCGCATTCAAACCCTGGAAGATTTAATTTTCTTTCTTCGGCCGACGCGAATGCAGTACAATACGTACAAGTGTAGTGACAAACCTTAGCCAAGCTGGAGACAGGGCGAAGCGGAGCACAGCAACGTGAATTTTGGTGATATTGATGCTGGTTTGCCCCCACCGTCTCCCATTCCAGCTCCCACGATCCCTTTCCTACCCATGACACCCTCTACCGATAATCACTCCATCGCTTGACCCCCCCCCACCCACGCCGGAAACATTGTCATTTGGCGGGGCGGACGACGTGATGACGCAACATGCCCGAAACGGTATATCCCTCTGTTCAAAAACATATAACGATGATGTTGTTGGATACGGCGACGGCAGACCAAAGGCAGCGCGTGCTTCGCGTGCACCAACACGCTCGTGATCGTGGGCGTGTTCGACGACGAGGCGTGCAAGGAACAACACCCTTCCGCCACCGCTGGCGCTCTCGCCTGCAACAAGGTGAGCAGCGTGAGATCATCGCGACATTTGTGTTTTTTTTCAGCAGAGAAGCCCGACAGATTTGCCGGGGCACCTATATTGGGTTTTAGCTACTACTGCTGCTGGTGGGTTGCTGCTGCCTCTGAAGTGGCAGTACGTTTTACTGTGTGTGGGCGTCGCGCATGTTTTTGTTGTCCCAGCGTGAGCCCTTGTTAAGGTTTGAACATGTTTGTGAAACGGGTTCGCAAAATCGCCGATTTAGCCGATGCGTCTCAAAACCACCATTATGCATAGGGCAGGCCTTGAGTTATCGAGCGCGAGCCATGGATGATGCCAAAAGCACGAGCGTGGACGTGTGGTATTTTGCAAGATTGCAGACGGACGTGAAGCGAGAGTCGGGTGGAATTAGGACGCGAGTCTTGATGACACAAAACTGACGTCTTGACATCAAGGAACAAAGAAAACACGAAAGACTAATATCATTGTCGAGAGAAAGAAACCCATTTACAGGTGCGCAGAGCGGAGAAGTGCTACTTAGAATGAACAAATAGAAGGATGCGCGATGAAGGAGTCGGGGAAGGCGGGGGTGGGGGGGTTAAACCTCAACGAATAGGAAAGGTCTACGGGCATCGAAAAATGTAGGGGTATCGTGTGGAAACTTGGAGGTGGACGCACCCTTTGTTTCACGGGCCCTCAGACAGGCAGCCCACAGCCCAAACGCGGGAGTTTGTTTTTTTTTTTTTCCCCCTCGCATCCAGCCAGTCACCCCCCCCCCCCTATTTGCTCCTTTTTTTCGCCGATGATTTTCTTCGTTTTCATGCTCTCATCAGCGTGTAGCACCTTACGTATGCATTTCCTAAGATCGCAGAACGTGGGAGGCATTCGTTGCGTGTACCAACCACTCACCCGCCCGCGCGCCCCCCTTCCCGTCGCTCCTTGACGCCCCTCTTTGTGTCATCTGACTGGACGCCGTCGAATCAAATGGGCTCATCGATGACCCCGTGTGCTACCTGCCACAGGCCGTGGAAGACCTGGCAGAGTACCTGCGCACAGCGGGATACTGAAGCGTCTGCGGCGGGAGGGAAACAAAGAAATGGAGGGAGAGGGGATCGCTGTTTTTTTCGGTGACATTTTTTAGGGAGCTGAGAGAGAGTTAGTCCCCTTTCATCCCCTCCCTTGTCCACCCACGCCATGGTGGCAGTGGCTTGTTGTCCGAGGGTGAGAGAAGTCGCAGGTGGGCGGCGAGTGTACCAGTGGAGGGAGGGGAGGCGGTTTCGAGCACAAGCGCGAGGGCGGGGGAGGAAGGGTACAGATTTTGCGGAGGGGAGCTCCGGGGTTGTTTGCCTGACTGATTTTGATAGTTGATGGTATCGGACCAGTTTTCTGATGCGGTCATCATGCGTTGTGGCGTGTACGCCATCGACGCAAGCAGCGGAAGAACGTGGAAAGCGTTTCGATGCTCTCGTGATGGTGCTTTCGTGTTTTCGTGCTGCTGCTGCTGCTGCTGCTGCTGCTGCTGCTGCTCCTGCTGCTGCTGCTCCGTGAAGTAGCTGGTGGTGCGTGGCTGTCGGGAGTGCTGGTGTGTGCGTGCGTTATCATGGCATGCTTGCTGGTTGCGATGTAGATGGGCTGGTCCCCCTTTTTTTTTCTTCGCTTTGATTTGCCGGTTCTGTTCCCTCAATCGTCTCTCGTCTCGTTTGCTTTTTTTTTTTCTTCTCTCTCTTGTTCCCGTGCGGGTGCTCGGCACGGAAGTGAAAACAAAAAGAAAGCGCAACTTTTTCGGAAGTTGCGGTTTGTGGTGTGGCGATTTAGCTCTTACACCGGACGGTACGAAATACACCAAAGCAATGCAGCCAGGGTTTTTGGTCGAGGGGTGGTGTTGCTCTCCTTGTTTTTCGTTCCCCGCCCCAGGCGCGCTGCCGAGATCAAGGGCCTCTTCATTGAAGCCTTCCTTTGTATGGGGGGCAGAGAACGTTCGCAAGGCATGCACAGGGCTGCTTGTGTTTGTGCAGAGAAGTTAGTAGCAGTGCACGTGAATTCTTGGAGGGCGATGGGTGGGCGGATGTAGTGAGTGATGGTACAAAATCGTGTTGAAACGGGTTGGGAATTGTGTGACATGTGTGAGAGGAAGAATGGCGANGGGGGGGGGGGGGGGGGGGGGGGGGGGGGGGGGGGGGGGGGGGGGGGGGGGGGGGGGGGGGGGGGGGGGGGGGGGGGGCGAGAGGTAAGAGGGGAACATTCGGGATGTATTGGGCGAAGACTTTCTCCCGGCTCTTGTCCATAAGGTGTGACCCCTGTTTCATTTTTGTTCCTGCCGTAAGGAGGGGTCAGGACGTTTGGTTCCATGTCTGGTCGCAGAGGTTGAAGTGGGCCTGCAGCACTGGCTGCTGCTGGTTGCCGTTTGTTAGCGGCATAACTTTCAATGTTTTGCGACCTACACCTTGGCCTCCATGGAGGATGGCGTTGATCTTGTCGCCCCCCATCTCAGACATGGCTCTCTCCCTATCCCTTTTCTCTGTCTGGGGCTCTTGCTGCGTGAGGACGCCATGTCGATTGCATTGCGCGTTCTTCACAGCGACCACTGCTGCTTTCATTTGTATGAATATCAAGAGGTTCATTCCTTGAGACCCTCAAAAGTCACGACCAAGCCAGGAAGTTGCTGGCTTTCCTTCATGCATGCCCCATGAGTATTACAACGAAACACCACCTTCTTCCAAGCCACTTAGATACCAAGCACATCTACGTAGATGGCGGAGACTTTGGTTGGCTGTGGTCGAAAGAGAGATCCGTTCACTTGTACAGTGTCCGATCGGTCGCTCCCTCCAAACATATTGCTTGCTTGTCCGCTGCATGTGCAGCAAATTGCAGCGACATCCATCCCCCTTCATGTATTATTCGGCACGCGAGGCAGACAGAAGTCTCCTGTGTGTGTGTGGCCTTCACACAGCCCTCAGGAGTAGTGAGTGTAGACTCGTTACCAACGGCAGATACGTGTGCGTGTTTTGTACGCATGTGAAAGATTTTCGTACGTCATCTCCCGATACAGAAACGACCGCGGATCGCATCTGCAAGGAGAAACGGTGTAGCACGTGTCGGCATCCATCGGAAGATGACGGCGCTTGCAGCTTGGAATGGTGGTTAGGAAGAGGAGAAATCGATCATGCGTCGTACAGCACGCTCCACCATCCCCCTTGAATGATTTTGTTGTAGTTGAGAAAAAAGCATATGATTCCCTGTTGGTTTCCCCATTTATCAACCGAGGAACGAGGCTTGCGCAAATTGTGTGTTCTGCATTGATAAGCTGAGGTCGGGTACCCCCCCTCCCCCCCACCCACCCACGCCAATCCACCCTATGTTCCCCAGAGGAAAGTATTGAACCGAAGCATTCCATCCATCCGTGCACAAAAAAAAGAAAAAATCAGCGACCAAAGACCACCTGACTGACACAAACATCAAGAGATGATGACACAACATGGAACCAATAATAAAACAAAGTTAGGTACACACACCTACGAGGAACCGAAAACAAACACAACACTGGCAGTCCGTATTAGTACAACGGGCTCGACATCAGATCATCGTAGACCATTGGTCGACGCAACACACCTCCCACCCCCCATTCTTCTTGTTGATCCCTGCACTCCCATTCAATTCGCAAATCCTTGCGCATGCACTTGCATGCACCAAAAATTGAGTGGAGTGCAGGAAACGCCTCTCTCTCTCTCTCTCTCTCTCTCTCCCTGTCCCTCCGCCGGTCTTCCCGTCAAACGAAGTTTGAGAATTCGACATCGGCCTTGGGGCTGGTTTTGGAACCATGAGTGAGTGAGTAGTTTATCGATGAACACGACGGCAACACGCAACAATGGAGGCGGCGTTAGCCGGCTCGCGAATAAGCCAGTCACTACGACTACATCAGCCAAGCCCGGAGTAGTGGCGATATGCAGGCAAGACGATCATCAGTACCCGGCTTTCTTGTTAACCACGTGGATCGACATCTCGTCGCCCTTGACAAAATTGTCGACGTTTTCCGCGAACTTGCGGACGCTGTCGCTCAGATAGTGGGCTGCCAGGTCGGCGTTGTGGGGGCTCAGCAGCACATTTTCCAGGCCCCAAAGGGGGCTGTCCGTCGGCAGGGGCTCCGTCGTGAAAACGTCCAGTGCGGCACCTCTTAAGTATTCGAAGAAAAAAAGGGGGGGGGGGGGGGGGGGGGGGGGGGGGGGGGGGGGGGGGGGGGGGGGGGGGGGGGGGGGGGGGGGGGGGGGGGGGGGGGGGGGGGGGGGGGGGGGGGGGGGGGGGGGGGGGGGGGGGGGGGGGGGGGGGGGGGGGGGGGGGGGGGGGGGGGGGGGGGGGGGGGGGGGGGGGGGGGGGGGGGGGGGGGGGGGGGGGGGGGGGGGGGGGGGGGGGGGGGGGGGGGGGGGGGGGGGGGGGGGGGGGGGGGGGGGGGGGGGGGGGGGGGGGGGGGGGGGGGGGGGGGGGGGGGGGGGGGGGGGGGGGGGGGGGGGGGGGGGGGGGGGGGGGGGGGGGGGGGGGGGGGGGGGGGGGGGGGGGGGGGGGAGGGGGGGAGGAGGAGGAAGGTGGAGGGGTTAAGGGTAACGCGGGGAGAAATTGAAGTGTGTGTAAATGTTATTATTTTTTGATGTGCCATACGACTTAAAAATTACGCTGTCTAATCTAAACCCCATCGGCTACACATCGGCTACACACATGAAAGCAATAATTGACATCGCGTGCACTTGCCGGACTCGAATCTACGTTCAGATTTCATTTCTCCATGCATCTCAACGCAATTGCCGCACGATCGTAGCAACACAGTACTGTAGTTTCGTCACCTCAAACGTCCATCTTGCAGCATTTGTGTCATGGCTACCTCGTCGATAAGTGGCCCCCGGCCTATGCTGATGATCACAGCGTGAGGCTTTGCCTGCGTCATTTGTTTGTCGAACAAGTGTAAGGCACGCGAGGAAGTGAAGCAGGAGGGGGAAGAGGTTGGCACAACAGTGTATTTGCGTGAATTGTTTCTTGCTACTAGGTGTGATGCTAGGTGTCCCACAACAACACTTCTCGAAGTACTATGTATGGCGGTCTAGGTCGTCGTTACTCTTTGGTTTGTCGAATAAAGGAAGTACCAGTACGGCAGGCAGGGACGTACACACTTACCCTTGAAAGCTCCTCCGCGCCCACCATCCCCATGGTAGCGGGCGTCAACGCGGCCGCAACCAGGATGTAGTCAGATTGTGCGATCACATCGCCAACCTGGTACAACGAGGAGATAGAGAGAGACAGGGGGGGGGGGGGGGGG